TCAGAATCAGAATAAACTTTATTGGAATTGCACCGAGGTACAACGCAAATATGTACGTACAGTCGTCCGAAAGATGGGCGGAGTGCACGAAGCTGCGACTGTAGAAAGCGCGGCCATTTTATCCTTATCAGATAATAATCTTAGATAGGAAAAGGGGTAGAAACATGAGGGTAGATAGTGGTATTACAAAAAAAAAAATCTTTCACATCTTGTCTATCAGTACACGATTTGAGACATCTAAAAACTCTACCAGCAAGAACAATTTAAACATGATTACATTTGCATTTGACATCAAGGTGTTGAGATTTGTCCATGAGCGTTTTTTTAGATCAGCCACAGTTTCTGAAGATGTTGTTCCAGCCAGCAGTTCTGATAAGCTAGCACAGAAAGTTCTCGGTGGGGGGGGGGGGGGCGCTAGATGAAGCTTTTGTCCTTGGGTACTCATGTCCCAGGAGAAATTGATAGTCGGCCTGTCTCCGAGGCCGTCGGGGGTCAGATTTAGATAAGCTTGACTTTTGTTTTTTCTTCAGGCAGACAGATTACATTTTTCTTCAGCCTTGAGTCCATCTGGGCGTTCTGGTTCTGAAAATGCCTAATTGTGGGATTCCATTCCACTGATCCATGCTATGAGTCTCCTTCAAGGTCGAACACACCACACTGACGAGTCCCAGAAGCCGCAGGTGGCCTGTGATTCTCAATCGCCTCCACCTTACGGTTAAGCTCGTAAACCAGACGATTCAAAGTTCCCACAGCGTGGACCAGACCTTCACACTGACTCAGAAGCTTTACCATGGCCGAAACTGCTGCCGCCGTCTGCTTCAAAAGTCGATAAAACAGAGCCCCGCCGATGCCAAAAAGCAGAGTCCCTGCTATCATAATTCCAAATATATAAACATCTTCAACATCCTCGTGAGACATAACTGAGAGACACATCATCTGCCACACTCCCCACGAATCTATGACGTACCCCACAGCGTGAGTCTCAGCTAGACACTCCGGTTCTCCAGGACCTTGTCGCTTTGATGAAAAAATCTTATCAATAGAGTTGAACGCCCACGATACCAAATCCATAATCTTCTTAATTTATGTTCAGATGAGACCCAGGTGCTTCAGACTCACAGAGAGCAGTGCAGGAAGACGGAAAAACAGGGGAGGAAAAAACAGAAGCTGCCACCTTGATGAGAGCCTGAGAGGAGAAAAAAATGCATGCATATTTGATTAAAAGGCCTTAAAGAGTGAACGTTTTCATCTCCCGATGGTGAAGGAGTTTGAATGGAGTTTACAGAGGTTACGTCAACGTGAACAGTCCGGTGAAACGTTATAAAATCCCAGATAAAATCCTCCATGTTATAGAAAATACACGTCTAGCTAAATTGTATTCATAACGCTTTTCACAGATATCTGTACAGTACATCTGTACAGACTGTACAGATCAGGCACGCTTAGCACAGCATGTCAAGTCCAAGACTCGACAGCAAAACAAGTTTAACCTACTAATAACTCATCAACACCATCACTATTCCAATACCAACACATTCAGTGTAGGACAACACTCCAGTAGTCAATTACATGCCAGGGAGACAGAAAAATGGGTGAAGAATTTTTCTGACAGACAGCTCACCCAGCCGGAGACAGAGATTCTTGCCAGGGGACTGAACTTTGCGGTTGCACCAAGTAGTAGTATTCCTCTGGTGGAGATGATCACATCCACAGAATCAGCCATCCGCAACAACAAAATGAAAGAGGGTGAAGCAGAACAGCTCAGAATTAAAGTTTCATCCTGCCTCAGCAATGCCAAACCACCACCTTCCAACATCAGTAGAGAGGAGAGGGATGCACTCACCACTCTTAGCAAGGACAAAAACATCATCATTCTCCCAGCAGACAAAGGAAGGTGCACAGTGATTTTGAACCACAAAGACTATCATGAGAAAGTTATGACACTCCTTAGTGACTTAACCACTTATGAACCTCTGAAGAGATCCAGGAATTGGTTACAAGAAAAAGTTAACAGATTGCCTGAAAAATTTGGAGCAGGACAAGGCTATTGACCATATTCTGTACCACAGACTGTACCCAGGGGAGGCCACACCTAGTCTGTATGGTTTACCTAAAATCCACAAACAAGGTGTACCTTTAAGACCTATTCTAAAAAAGTTAAATCTGGTCCTCTGGACATTTAAAAAAAAAAAAAACAAAGCAAATCAACAAAAAAATGTAGAAACGTTTCGTCTCTCATCCGAGAGACTTCCTCAGTCTGAGGAGCTGTATTCAGCTCAGTCTCTTAAATAGCACCGTCTCAGAGTGGATCAACCAGTTTTGCTGCTGACAACCAAAACCAGCTGATCACATGCTCAAGAAGGACCATCAGCCTAACAATGGATCATTAGCACACTGATGGCTGTTTACTGTTCACAGAGGGCTGAGTGATAC